GTTGGAGGGGAGTGATAGCATAGGCAGGAAGACCAAGGAGAGGAAAATTACAGTAGTCCAAATGGGTAAAGATCAGAGCATGAACCAGGAGTTTGTCAGCAGAATGTGATATGAGGAGGTGGATATCCCTGGTATCGAATAAATGAAAGTGGCAAATTGCAAGCAGGAGTGGAGATGTGGGTGGAAAAGGTGAGGTAAGAGCCAAAGGTGACAGCAAGGTTGAGGACAGATTAAGCAGAAATGAGGGAGAGAACAGGGAAGGAGATGGTGGGGATGGGAGGGGGCGAGTGAGAGGCCAGAAATTAAATGATTGATGTTTTGGAAGGACCTCGAGAGAGAAGGTGAAGCACCATCCAGGTTTGGATGGCAGCCAGGCAGGAGGAGGAGATATGAGAGGAAAGGTCAGGAGTCAATGAAGGAACTGTGTTGGCCTCGATCTCTAAGCTGCTTTCGACACCATCGACCATGAGATACTCATCAGGCGGCTAAGGTCAAGGTTCAGTGTATCATACCTTACATGGTCGATCACAGTTCGTCAAGCTGGATGATAGTCATCGTATATGCCATGCCTAAATGACGTACCACAAGGGTCCGTCCATGAGCCCTCCCTATTTTCAACATACATCTCTCTGATCACTGATGTTATCTCATCGCATGACATCAAGTTCCATAAATATTCTGATGATACACAATTGTAAATCGCATTGAAGTCAAAGTTAGATATGGAGAGCCTCGTTAACCTCGAAGATTGCACGTGAGCGGTGCACGTGTGGTGTAGAGGAAACGAAATCCTTTCTAGATTTGAAGCTGTCGTGACTGCAAGGATCCATGCTCTTTGGTTCTATTCGGTAAAGTCACGTAGGTAAAAAATAAAACAACAAAAATCACGACGTTTCGGCCACAACACAAGCGGCCTTCATCAGGTGAAGGGACCAAACTGTCCAGCGGACAGCGTTGGAGTGAAGAAAGCCAAGCGCTGGTCGCCTCCTTTTAAGCTGTGAGGGGGTAAACAGTAAACGCCTTGACAAAGGAAATTAGCATAAAACGTACTACTGACAGAGCTTGGAATTAGCATAAGATGATAATACACCACCTTGGAAGTTTGGAGTGCCACTACTAGAATAAATATACTGTACCATTGAAAATTAGTTTAATGCTTGGTTCGATTTAGAACATCTTTCCAATGGTTACTTAATTTGAAACCATCTTCTCGGTTGAAATTGTGTCTGTGTTTGTAAATCTGAATTGCCTCGTGGACAAATCTCTGATGATAACCTGTCGGTTTGCAAAGGACCTTGGTATCGGAGAAAATTATATCGTGATCACCCACAGCGTTGTAACAATGATCAGCTACGGCAGAAGAATTCGTTCTGCCGTGTTTCAAATCTGATTTGTGCTCGCGAATTCAGTCAGAGACATGTCGTTTCGTCTCCCCGATATAGCAATCACCACAAGTGCAGCTCAATTTGTAAACCCCAGGGTACTGTAAGTCAGGAATGACATCCTTCACGGATGGGATCAGGTCACGGATTTTGTGTACTGTATTGAACCGGACCAGGATCTTGTGTTTGTTTAGAATTTTGGAGATCTTTTTAAGGCCAGTGAATTAAAACACGTACATCTGGCCCTAAAGAGAAACGAATACTCTGACCGTACCATCCGCCAAGCTGTTTCTCCCTCCATACAGAAACAACCACTTGATACTCCGGTCAAAACCATCACACTACCATATATAGCAGGCGTTACTAAAAAGATCTCCAAAATTCTAAACAAACACAAGATCCTGGTCCGGTTCAAGACAGTACACAAAATCCGTGACCTGATCCCATCCGTGAAGGATGTCATTACTGACTTACAGTACCCCGGGGTTTACAAATTGAGCTGCACTTGTGGTGATTGCTATATCGGGGAGACAAAACGACATGTCTCTGACCGAATTCGCGAGCACAAATCAGATTTTAAACACGGCAGAACAAATTCTTCTGCCGTAGCTGATCACTGTTACAACGCTGTGGGTGATCACGATATAATTTTCTCCGATACCAAGGTCCTTTGCAAACCAACAGGTTATCATCAGAGATTTGTCCACGAGGCAATTCAGATTTACAAACACAGACACAATTTCAACCGAGAAGATGGTTTCAAATTAAGCAACCATTGGTAAGATGTTCTAAATCGAACCAAACATTAAACTAATTTTCAATGGTACAGTATATTTATTCTAGTAGAGGCACTCCAAACTTCCAAGGTGGTGTATTATCATCTTATGCTAATTCCAAGCTCTGTCAGTAGTACGTTTTATGCTAATTTCATTTGTCAAGGCGTTTACTGTTTCCCCCTCACAGCTTAAAAGGAGGCGACCAGCGCTTGGCTTTCTTCACTCCAACGCTGTCCGCTGGACAGTTTGGTCCCTTCACCTGATGAAGGCCGCTTGTGTTGTGGCCGAAGCGTCGTGATTTTTGTTGTTTCATTTTTTACCTACGTGACTTTACCGAATAGAAACGAAATCCTGCTTAATCCAGAAAAATCATAGGTTCTGCTAGTTGGCTCAGGCAAGAACATTTGTGGATCAGGTGTATCAGTTGTAGACTCCAGGATTCAGTTTTCTACTCAACTAAAGAGCCTCAGCACCATACTTAACCAGAATGTCGTTTGATAACGATTTGCAAAATATATTCAGGTCCTGCAATTTTCATATCAGGTCTCTATGACACGTTCAGCCACTTTTGAGTCATGACATAGCCAATACGGCAACATGCTGCATAGAATCAACAAGACTCGATTAGTGCAACGCACTACTCTACGGGGCATCTGGCAAAAACATTCCCAAGATGAAGTGTGTACAAAATTCTCTGGCACATGTCGTGGATTTGGCTAACCATCAAACAAAGTTGGTCACTACATCGCACGCTTTTGCTTCTGCCACTAGATTGAAACCCCATTCCTTTAGAGCTGCTTTTTGTGTTAAGTTTGTTGTCCTTCACCTGCACCTCCGAGTAGCACGGTTGGCTCTGTACAGTACGAATGTAGTTCAACATACAAACAAGTATAGAGCAATGGGGGGAAAGTAGACAAGGGATGACCAAATGAGCTCAACCTTACAGTAAAAATGGTGGGAGAAGGCCAGAACGGAAAGAGAATTGCTAGGAGAGGAAAGAGTAGGGTCAATTCAATTACTCAATACTCTGGTAAATAACATAGGGTTACACAAAGATAAGCCTCAATTACCTGATCCTTGTCTAAACAACACCTTTTTATTATGGAGAGGTGGTTTCTACAAACAAAAATGAGCAGCAATGGTCTCTCCTTCGTCTCCTGCTATTGCAAATCTGTACATGGAAAATGTTGAAGCTAGAGCACTAACTTCAAGTACACTAAACCCCTCCAATTAGTTTATATATGTGGAAGACACTATGATTGTCTTGCCATATGGTAAAGATACACATTTCTAAATCATCTCAATTCGCAAAACCCATCCATCCAGTTTACCATGGAAGTAGAGATGGAGAAAACCCTACCATTCTTGGATATTCTGCTCGAACGTGGCCCAAATGGTAAAATAACATACAGCGTTTACCAAAAGAAAATCCACACTGATGCCTATTTAAATGGAGATTCACATCATCACCCCACACAGAAAGAAGCATTGCAATTAAACGGTTAAAATAATGCACAAATTAATCGAGCACTGAATGCCAAAACCAAATTAAATAGCACAAATTTTGAAATGTATAATGCAATTAAAAATACTGTAGATTGCAGGAGTAACTGATTAACTCGCTAGAGTTTTGGAAAATCGAAATCCGAGTGAGATTCGGCATGATACATAAAATACAAAAACTGGTATCTGGTACTAAAAAAATATTATCAAATCTATCAACAGAAGGTATGTACTGAATTAATTTATCCTTGTGTCCCATGCGCTGTTGGTCAGACGCGACAAATGATTAGCATAAGGCTAAAAGAACACCAACTACATTTTAAATACTCATAACATAACTATTGGCAGTTGCAGAACATGCTTGCCAACAAAGACATTCAATGTATTTTGATAACGTTGATATGTTGTGCAAAACTAATTATTACTGGCCAAGAATATATTGAAATTGAGATAAATAAAACATATTTACATTTTTATCCGTATTCTTTGGGTCTTTCGGTAAAGTCACGTAGATAGGTTCAAAGAAAATAACAAAAAAAACTACGTTTTGATCGCAACACAAGCAGTCATCATCTTTCCTGATGAAGACCGCTTGTGTTGCGATCGAAAAATCGTAGTTTTTTTATTTTGTTATTTTCTTTGAACGTATCTACGTGGCTTTACCGAAAGACCCAAAGAATATGAATTCCTGCAGTCACGAAAGCTTTAATTCAATATTTGTATCCGTTTTGACAGCTATAGGCTTAATGCTGATTGGAAGTGTATTATTAAGTAATACACCTTTCAATTGCATGCCTATTCAATGCATCATATATTCAACAACTGTGGTTAACCCATCTGGCATTATGTACTGCATATTTTCACATTAACATAATCCATTATAATTTATATGATTACAATAAACCCCACTCCGATCTTCACAGCTGATAGCATCACAGTGATGGCATCATCTTGCTCTATCTAGGACTGGAAGTAGGAAGACATCTTCACAATTCTGGTAAATTGCCTGATAAAGCTGGTTGTAATCGCCAGTGAAACATCGGACTTAATTGTAAATTTTGTGGATTTCCTCGCCATAACCACTATGTGCTGAAGTAATCGCTAATTGGCACGTTTTTCACATGACAAACCTTACTGATTGGCTGTCGGTGGTGGATGGGAAACGACACATTTCTATTTCTGCAATCTAACCCAAAAACCTTTATTATGAATATTGGTCGCGAAAGCCTACATGTTAAACAACACCTTCACCCCACACATTAAATAATACATCTCTAAGCAGCTTATCAAAATGAACTGTCAAGATATAAGTGCATTCAAAATGAAATATTCACATTACCTATGAAGACGCTCACTCGCCGAGAGATATCCCCATCAGGAGAAATCATTGAAAAACAGTGTGCTGCTGTCATTATCCAATGAGGTGAAATGATGGTTCCTCCACAAGAATGATGCTAAAAAAAGTATACATATATTAAGAATATAAAGGAGAGTGATGACAAGTTCGGAAGCACCGTAATATTAATATAAGTTAATCATATTGTTCGGTATTATTCATTTTCAGTAAATTATGTTCAAGATATCACACCTCAAGTGAGGCACATCACCCTTTGTGGTGTGGAAAAGGGAAAGCTTTTGGAATTGTGGAATAAATGTGGAAATGATATATTAAAAAAACACACACACTCATAGCAACATTATCTTTGAAACCGAATTAGTTCAGACGAGTTGAATGTTTACATAGAATGTAACAGATTATAAGAATTAGTCCCATCAGTTAGTCTCGCTTCTTTGATGACATCCACATTTATACCATATCGTCCAAAAGCTTTCCCATCTTCCGTGCGGCGAAGGGCCGAGTTGGCTTCAAGCGTTATACCTGAAAGCTCCACCTGGCAGATAGGGTCTATTTCCTGTGCTATGTGCATTGTTCTGCTAGAGATCTGCATAAAATCCCTGCCCTAAGTTTAATATTATGTCTATGAGTTATTCCATTTTTATCCCGAATGGCAGCCATTTGCAATTGCTAATAATAAACATCCTTGTTTCTGCTCTCATTGCTTGCTATGACATCATCAATCGTACTTGTAGGTGTGGGACCATTTTCCCAGTATCAAGATATTGCATGAAAAAAAGGTTAACCTTTTCTAGAATAAATACATACAGGTATTAAGATGTTCAAACACCAAATAGACAATACAAGGCATTATGTTTGCATACTTTACCATATGCTTGTGGCAAACGAACAATCTGCCTTGATCATATATGCAATCCTTGAAACTGATTGGCTTGCACCAGAAATAGTCTCTTATGGCAATGTATCATCAGTCCTGCATCAAAGACCGCCAAAACGTGAGCAGTACAAAGACAATGCAAAGACCATTGAATTGATAGCTATAACTGCTCAACCAGAGGTATCTTCTGCATTTTCCCACAAGTATGTGTGGTTAATGCGGACATGATTGGCGTCTGTTGGTGTTTTAACTTCCTAACACTGTATTTACGCGAGAAAAGGTAACGCTTTTTTATCAGTCAATAATCTTTGTTTTGTTGTACTTTCATATGTATTTTTTATTCCTCTCCTAATCAATCTACAGAGTTCTGTGTATTAAAAATTTATTTAGCCAGTCTCCTTTTCTAGCTCTCTTTTTCCTCCATAAGTCTTTTGTGGTTTCAGACAACTTGCTGTCTGTTTGCTTTCTGACATTTCCTCCAGTTTGAATGTACTATCAAGCTAGTTAATGCATTATATGAAGTGGTGACATCCATGTCATAATTCTGTTATATTTCACCATTATTATACTTATTTTCAGTGAAGGTCTTTGCACTGTCAACTTACCTCTCCTATTTGTATTCGAACATGCCAGGGCCATTCTGTAATATTTGTGGCCTTTCCATTAAAGATCCGAGATAACCTGAAGACTTCATGATATGTTGCAATACCACATTTGTAGTATAATGTTTTATCTGTAAAAAATACGTATATTAACACGTTGCATTTTAAAGACACTGCATGATTACATTTGAGTCTAAATGGAATGAGCACTTATTTTAGTGCACGCCAATATAATGTACACACTTATTTGTTACACCATTGTAACAAGTTTCAAGGCATAGCTCTGCATTTAATCAGTGCAGAGTATTTAGGAGTCACGAGTCCCACCACTACGTGTGCTTTCACATTACGCCACTGGATATTTACCAGCCAGCTGTGATAAGCGTATTATGGTGAACAAGACAAGAAGCCTGAGGCCGTGCAAACCATTGCGGGTGGGTACGTAGAACATGAGAACGTTTTTCCAACTTGGTGCAATGTTCATCCTCTGAAAAAAACTTTAGAGGGCAGAAATCATCATCTTGGGAGTCCAGGAGGCACAGTGACTCGGTGCTCGTGAAACTACCACAGGGAATGACACTGTCCTGTGGTCAGGGGCCCCAGACAGCGCTTCCCATCTTGCTGGAAGGCCATTGTCCTTGATCAGGCAGCCACACCAGCCCAAATAGAATGGCACCCAGTAATCGGAATCTTTATTTATACTGGAATAATAAGATGAGCTATGAAGATTTTTTTCACAGATATCCAGTAGAGGTGGGTCAGAAAGTTACAATACAAAAACCTAGAGGAATGCAGAGTATAGGAAAGTTAAGCAAGTCGCTAATTTGAAAAAAATATATCAGTACAAATTACAAAAGAACATCAATTCCTGCCGATTTCCCATCAACAAATGCAAGCTTGAGCAAGGCAGTAAAACAACAAAACAGTCCCAGACCACAGCAAGACAACACACAGTCCCTCAATAAAATTGCACATTAAAATTGAACTAGCTATATACAGGTGTAGTGACTATACTTGTCACTGTGTGGTGCCGGGATTTGTGAAGTCACGGCCGGTAATGTTGTCATTGCGGGCAGCCCGGGTTGCGGGCTGCAGTACCAACCCTAGCGGTGGTTGGGTGAGCGCGGGTTAGCGCGAAGGCACCGCGAGCAGTGTGCGGTGCCGGCTCCCAGTGAGGGAGCGAGAGCGAGCGTCAGCCAGCCAGAGTTACTCTGGGGCATGACACTCTGGCTGAGCTGTTGTCACTTGACTGGACGATTCTGGAGGGGGGGCACTTGTGGACGGGGGCCGAGGGGCGGTCACGTGGTCCCGGAGAGCCCTCGGGAACGTTTGAGAAGGGGCTCGAGGAGCCTAGAAGGTGGGCGGGGCTAAGGGCGGAGCCAGTCCCAGCCTGGGAGCATATAACGAGAGCTCCGTGAGGAGCTCGGGTTCTTCAAGTGTTGGTGTTCAAAGATCCACGTCGGGGAGAAGCCTCTAGCCACGTGGTCCGGGACCCAGCTTGTGGTCCGGACCGAGATAGCGAACCGTGTCTAGTTCTGCCGTAGCATGGTTAGATGGGCATTCAAGACCAGAGCGTAGGTTGTGTTATGTTCGTGCTGTTGTGTTGAATAAATAGTGTTGCTCCTAAGTTAACGTCTGCGACTCAGTTGGAATCACTGTGTAATGCCAGCTCTAGCGAGGCACGGCATGCAATGCATTGTCATCGCAGACTCCCCGTAAGTGGGTGCAGTACCAGCCCTAGACGGGCTTGGTGAGCGCTGGGATAGCGCAGTGGCACCACGCATGGCGTGCAGTGCTGACTCCTACAGGAGGGAGTGTTAGAGTGTCAGCCATGGGATGAGGTTACCCAAGGCCATGGCACTCTGGTTGACCATTGAAGGCACGTGACCAGTAAGATCCACACAAGGGCCCCAGGTGGGGGCTTGGAGGTGGTCAAGTGTCAGGGTGAGATCCTACGGGAAGGGTCGAGAAACGAAAAGAGATTTCTCGGTGGTCGTGGCCAAGAGCGGGACCAGCCACGAGATGTACGTGTTTTAATTCACTGGCCAGGTGGTGTTGGTCCGAAATGCAATGAGCCCTGTGGTATAACGTTTTGATGAGAGAATTATTTTGAGTCGGGTGGTGGTGGGAATCAGGTTTCAAGTAGGAATCTGTGTGGGTGGATTTCCTGTAGACAGAATGTCCCAATGAGCCATCAGGTCTCCTCTCAAACAGAACATCCAAGAACGGCAACTTGCCATCTTTCTCCACTTCCATGGTGAATTTGATGGCGGGATGTCTGGAATTGATGTGGTGTAGGAAGAGGTTCAAAGCTGGGAGGCCATGTGGCCAAATGACGAAAGTGTCGTCTACATATCTCTTCCACAGGGAAGGTCTGAGAGTGGAAGTCTGGATGGCGTCTGATTCAAATTTCTCCATGAAAACATTGGCTATCACTGGTGATAAGGGAGAACCCATGGGGGTACCCTCATTTTGTTTGTAGAAGGTGCCATTCCAAGTAAAGTAGGTATTGGTGAGGCAGTGTCTAACCAGCGCAGGTGTATCGGGGTCTAGTCCATGTTGTACCAAATTTTCAATTATTTCAATGGTATCAGGTACTGGGACCTTGGTGAACAGAGAGACCACATCGAAGCTGACAAGGATATCGTCGGGGGACAGTACAACGTCTTTGACCATAGAGACCAATTGGGCTGAGTTAAGTATTGCTGAGGAGGTCTTACCAGTGAAAGGTAGCAAGGTATCTAACAGAAAACGTGCTAGCTTATAGGTAGTGGAGTTGATCGTGGAAACGATGGGTCGTAGTGGGGTGCCTTCTTTATGAATCTTGGGGAGACCATAGAATCTAGGGGGTCTTGCAGCAGAAGGTTTTAGGGAGGAACGTTTAGTTGGTTCGATTAGGGAGGTCGAACTTGTGATGATCTTGTTGGTTTTCATAGTTAGGCTATTAGTAGGTCGGCTGAGAGGATGACTATATCATTTCTATTTTTTTAATTCGCGAGTTCAGAGCGTTAATTTTTTCTGATGTTGCTAATGGGTTTCTTAGAATTATTGAGAATAGTGGCTATTTCAGCTCTCGCAACGTCTGCTTGGATGTGCTCTATGCCTTTGAGGGCTACATCGACCTGAGAGATATCATCTACAGGGATATGTTTCGGGGTGACAGCAAAATTTAGCCCTCTAGCCAGTACTGTTTTCAAATTGACCGAAATCGGGGTGTTACTCTGATTAATGACGATTTTGTTGACGTCTAGTTTTGTTATATGAGGGACTGGGTTATTCTTCGATAGGTGGTTGAATTTAGAAATCAGGTTAGCTTTGCATTTGACTGATAGTGAATTGGCAGAAGAAGCAGTCATGTTGTCTACGTGGTTCCAATCAGAAGGTGACATTCTTTGTGTTAACGTTAAATGTGCTTGTAGGAGAGTCCTGTCTAAAGTATCGAGTTCAAAACGGAGTAGCCTTATCCTCTCTGAGATTAAAGAAAGGCTCGCCTTAAACACAATCTGTTTAGAATTTGGTGAGAACACAGCAGCAGAAGTGAGTGTGAAGGTGATGGGTATTACCTTGTGGTCGCGGCATCTTTTGAGGAAGGTTAGCGTCTCGATGAGCTGTGACTTCTTGTCTCGTTGTCTGTTAAAACTCTAACAGATAGGTGAAAACCCTCCCCGTAGAGGCTATCAATTCTAGATTTGAAGCTTTCGTGACTGCAAGGATCCATACTATTTGGTTCTATTCGGTAAAGTCACGTCGGTCAAAATTAAAACAAAAATCACGACGTTTCGGCCACAACACAAGCGGCCTTCATCAGATGAAGGGACCAACCTGTCCAGCGGACAGCGTTGAAGTGAAGAAAGTCAAGCGCTGGTGGCCTCCCTTTAAGCTGTGAATGGTACAGAATTTTTATTCCAGTAGTGGTATTTCAAACTCCCAGGGTGGTGAGGGGGCAAACAGCAAAAAAAATACTGTACCATTCACAGCTTAAAGGGAGGCGACCAGCGCTTGACTTTCTTCACTTCAACGCTGTCCGCTGGACAGGTTGGTCCCTTCATCTGATGAAGGCCGCTTGTGTTGTGGCCGAAACGTCGTGATTTTTGTTGTTTAAATTTTTTGCCGACGTGACTTTACCGAATAGAACCAAAGAGTATGGATCCTTGCAGTCACGAAAGCTTCAAATCTAGAATTGATAGCCTCTACGGGGAGGGTTTTCACCTATCTGTTAGAGTTTTAACAGACAACGAGACAAGAAGTCACAGCTCATCGAGACGCTAACCTTCCTCAAAAGATGCCGCGACCACAAGGTAATACCCATCGCCTTCACACTCACTTCTGCTGCTGTGTCCTCACCAAATTCTAAACAGATTGTGTTTAAGGCTAGCCTTTCTTTAATCTAAGAGAGGATAAGGCTACTCCGTTTTGAACTCGATACTTTAGACAGGACTCTCCTACAAGCACATTTAACGTTAACACAAAGAATGTCACCTTCTGATTGGAACCACGTAGACAACATGACTGCTTCTTCTGCCGATTCACTTTCAGTCAAATGCAAAGCTAACCTGATTTCTAAATTCAACCACCTATCGAAGAATAACCCAGTCCCTCATATAACAAACTAGACGTCAACAAAATCGTCATTAATCAGAGAAACACCCCGATTTCGGACAATTTGAAAACAGTACTGGCTAGAGGGCTAAATTTTGCTGTCACCCCGAAACATATCCTTGTAGATGATATCATCTCTCAGGTCGATGTAGCCCTCAAAGGCATAAGGCACATCCAAGCAGACGTTGCGAGAGCTGAAATAGCCACTGTTCTCAAGAATGCTAAGAAACCCATTAGCAACATCAGCAAAAATGAATGCTCTGAACTCGCGAATTAAAAAAATAGAAATGATATAGTCATCCGCTCAGCCGGCAAAGGCAACGCCACTGTAATTATGGATAAAGATTCGTACAACAACAAAATCCAGAACCTACTCAACAATGGAAGTTACTCAAAACTTAAAAATGACCCTACTAATAGCCTAACTATGAAAACCAACAAGATCATCACAAGTTCGACCTCCCTAATCGAACCAACTAAACGTCCCTCCCTAAAACCTTCTGCTGCAAGACCCCCTAGATTCTATGGTCTC